TGTCTCCAATGCTAGCTTGCGCTTGGATTCTGGCTTGATAAAAGTTGAGGCCAGAGTTCCTTTTGCTTCTATCAATTTTTGGCTCCAGCTAAATTACAATCTGCAGGGTTTAGCATCTTTAGTCCTCTGAGATAATGTTCAGCTTTCCTGGCTTATGGTGAATGGCCATGAGGCAGAGGCTGGTAGACACTGAATGATAAGAGGATTTTAGCAGAACTGCAAACTTTCTGGCACGTTAGGTATGTCATCACACCCAAGGCATAGAAAGGCTTTCTTTCAAGCCAGAGGGAAAGCACTCTCCTTGGCTGCTGTTGAAGGCCACTATAGATGGATACCCTTGTCAGAAAGGGTTTGCAACTTTGGTTCTGGAGAAGTGAAAAGAAAGGGAAGATGAACTTGCCATGTCATGCTGTATTGCTCACTCTACTAGGAGGTACGTGGCAAGTCCATCCTCTCTTTGATTAGAAAATTTACAGATGGTCAAGATTATTCTCATGGGAATTAACCCACAGATCACAGCTTGAAGCATGAGCTGTTTAACAGCTGTTTGTAAAATTTCACAGGATATTGCCCGCAATGAGTGCGAATTTTAATATCTAACCTTCCTTTCCTTTTGTTATCTTTTTCGTATATATGATGCATATTATCATAAGTTCAGTGTTTGGATTTTAAACCTAAATGTGCAGTATTTGGGATGCTGTTCTTTTTCTGATTGCGCTGGTCTTTGACTGTTTTAATAACCTGAAATGAACTGACTTTGGAAAACTTAATCACTTGCCCTCAGTGGACTTGGCCGAAACTTACTGATTCAGGAGCTCAAAGCAAGTCAAGAGGGCCGCATGGGTTGAAAGTGGGCTACAAGTGTATTTTAGGCAAATTTCTCTGCATTTAAAAAAATTCATATTTCCCCACCAATTCTACAAGTTATGTTCATCTTTTACAAATATTTTTCTCCCTTTAATAGATTGTGGTCCAGCTGAAAAGTGGGGGACCTCTTCTGGCTAGACTGGGGGTGCAGCTGGTCAGGTTCCCTGGTGAGTGCAATGACCAGAATCAGAGGGGCAAGACAGACCAATCAGGTTTTGATCCCTTGCACGTTTGCCTCAACTGCTCTTGCGTAATGCTAGGAGGGATTTGCCAATGGAATCTGTTACTTCCAGGTATGATTACGAAATCTTCTTTTCTGGACATCTTTGAGTAGCCCATCTGCTGGGGATGATCCAGGTATAGATTGCCCACATTTGGGTAAGAGTTACTTTGCCCATCAAGTGGCAAACTCAGTCTTACTTCTCAGCTTTCCAGTTGCTGAATCTTTCATAGAACCATTCAAATATTTACTAAAATGATGAGAAGAGAGCCCTGCACACCAAAGGTAAGACATCTTTTTATCCGTTAGTGTACAGTGTGTTTGCAAAGAGATCAACCAACCTATCTATCTTGAAGGAAATCAGCCCTGACTGCTCTTTAGAAGGCCAGATGCTGAAGATGAAACTCAAATACTTTGACCACCTAATGAGAAGGAAGGACTCCCTGGAGAAGAGTCTAATGCTGGGAACAATTGATGGCAAAAGAAGAAGGAGACAGCAGAGGATGAGGTGGCTGGATGGGGTCACTGGGGCAGTTGGCGTGAGCTTGGGTGGACTCTGAGGGATGGTGGTGGACAGGAGAGCCTGGAGGAATGTTGTTCATGGGGTTGCGATGGGTTGGGTATGACTTTGTGACTAAACAAAAAAAGTACAGCATATTTCCATTTTGGAAAGTGTTCTGTGGAGAATTTCTGTGCTCACTGAAGAGCACAGAACAGTTTTGTGACTGCACCTTGTCCCTAAGGCTGGGCTTCAACAGAAGGAAGATATCATCTCGAGAATTTGAAATTCAGTCAGAGAAGCAGCCTTCTTCATGTGGACTTGACTGGGGTATCAACAAATGTGATTGGCTATTAGAAGTTTGCTACAGGAAGTAATGCACCAGATGTTCCAGCTCAGAGATATTTTGTTTTAAACTGTTCATTCAACAGAGTTGGGGATATTTGGGGAAAGCACTCAAGTTTCAACACTTGAAAATTTAAATTTGAAATTTAAATACCATCTAAATTTCATCACAAACTGAAAACTAGGAGTCTTTTGATTTTCAATGCAGAAGAAGCTTTATTGAGAAGGGGAAGGGAATCGGGGAATGTTCATTTGTAAAGAACATTGATACAGAACAATACCAAGGAAACAGCTTTGCAAGGCTTCTGATCCCATGACAAATTGGTTCCAAGCACAATTTTGTCTTCATTTATGTGGTCGACCAGTTGGTTAGGGTAGATAGGAAATTCTACCTTTCACTACTTTGGTGAAGAGCATCAAATTGATGCCTTGGAACTGAGAGCCACATCCGCTGAGCTTAGCAATCTCAGATGATAAAAAACCAAAAGAAAGGGGAATTACATGAAACAGGAAGGTGAGGCTGGAATGTCAAACCCTGAGCTTCACAAGCACGTCTTTGGCTGTGATGCTCGGGGTTCAGCATTCCCAATTGCAGGCTCAGCTGTGGTCCAGGGTGAATCCTTCTGTTACCAGGCGGCTTTCTCACAGCATGCTGTGATCAACACCATCCGAGGCCTCCAAAGCCTCCAAAGCCTCCAAAGCCACCAAAGCCACCACAGCCACCCCATCCCCATCCTCCATAGCCGCCACGTCCACCCCAGCCACCATAGCCTCCTCCACAACCGTAGCCACAGGGGGCATCAACGGACACGACGCATGCATCATTATTGGAGGCTCTCATGATGGGTCCCGGGACAGTGATGCAGAAGGGAGGTGACTGGATCAACAAGTGGTGCGGGGGGCACTGGGAGTCACAGGTGAAGCCACAGGGGCCACAGGGTCCACAGCCGAAAGTCATCTTTCAGATAGGGTCTGAAAAAGAGCAAATTCAGGGTCAACCGCAGTGAAATGCTGGCAGTATCACAGGGACAAGAGCATGGAGGGGAAACTTGAGGGTGTTCCAGAACTATTTTGCCTCCCACTGAGAAATTCCCCATGCAGGACCCCACGGATTCCTGAGGGCCAAGAAAAAGGGGAGAAAAATGGAATGTGAATACTCCATACTATTAAATGAGGAGTGAGTAGTGTACAGTCTAAAGGCCCATGTGGCAATCACTAGTCCAGGACCAGAGTCACAGCCAGAAAGGACCTCAGTATCATCCAATATCCAAACTTTATTCCAAATCTAGAAACAATGCAAACCAACTCCGTAAGGCCACTTCCAAGTTAATTGCACTCAAAATTGATTGGTCTGAGCAGGCATTCCTAAAGGCATCCTGGATTTTAATTTAGGGTTTCAAATGAAAAAGAAAAAAAAGGTGAAGGAATGGCCAAGTTCCTAATTCAATGGATAAAGATATCCACCTAATGAAAGGTTCTCTCCAGTGTCTGTGTTGCTGGGTACCAATGCCTCACTGAGGAGTCCCACACATAGCTTTCCTCTGATTTTCTAACAATGCCTTCCTCTCTCTCTCTCTTCGCCTCCCTCACACCAATGCACAAACACAGACAAACAGAATCATGAAGGAGAGCATCATCAATGGTTAAGGGGGCTGTGCACCCACTTCCCCTGCTATGGTTTTAGCATGGGTGCAAAGGGTACTCTCACCGAAAAAAGCTCCTTCAGATGTTGCCCTGGACTCCTTTCAGTGTCCATCATTGGCCTGAAAAGGGCCCTTCCAAAGTTAGTCTCCAGGTTTCAGTCGAGAGGAAATCATTCTAGTCTCTCAGTCTAAACCCAGCTCTCAGCCAAGGACACTGGCAGCACAGGCCCCCGGTGGCAATGGGCAAGTGGCTCAGTTTGTCACTTCCCCTCCCTTTGGTGCCTTCTGACACCTTGTTTCACTGGGCCTTCCTCTCACCTTCTGAATGAGCTTGAAGGCACTGAACCGGTTCGCTACAGCAGTACAGAAATCAACCAGAACTCACCTGGTTCTCCAAGGAGAAGCTGCTAAGATGCTTTGAGCTGGTGCAAGAAGATGATGAGAAGCTCCGGGATGAAGAGCCCTTTTATACCATTTCTGGGGCTTCTTTGGGCATTCCACACACCCTTTGATCAAGCCTATCTTCAAATTAACCACCAGATTACAGCTGTTGTAG